AATGAATGAATGGAATTCCAAAATCTGTGTAGATATTCATTGAAATGAAAAATAAACAACCTAAATGAAAAAAAAAAAAGAGTTGTGCTTACGACCCAAAGGTACATGGTTGGAATCCACCTCTCAGGAGAAAGATGGGCAGTATCCTCCCATACTACTTACTGCCTCTGAAAACCTGATGGAGAGTGAGCAATGAGTCCGTTCTGACTGATAGTATGTAACAACAATAAAGCACAATTGATGCCTTTAAAGAATATGAAATATACCATGGATTTCTGGAATGATAAAAATCTGTCTTGTGATACGTACAACCAGAAGGCGCCTTAGATGTGATGATGGCAAGACTTAGTATTTTGGACTTGTTATCCAAAGGGATAACAGTACATGGAGGACATCATACCTCAATAAAGTAGAGGGTTAGTGAAAGAGAAGAGAACCCTCAATATGCTTGATTGACTCAGTGGCTGAATGGGCTGAAGCATAGCAAAAGTTCTGAAAACTGGCTTTGTTTCTTTGAAACTAACTTGACAGCACCTAGCAACAGGAGCACATGCACAAGAAAACTGAGGCCAGAGAGCCAAGGACTTGCTCCACACCTAGTGGTTGTCCCCAGGATCCTATCCCAGAACTGTGTCCAAGGTGGACTGCCTTTGAGAAGGTCCAGTGCTACAGGAAAATCTCATCCTGGGGCCAGGAACAAATGACAGGATTGGTCTGTTGTGACCTCATGCCCCCTCATTCTCTCCTGAGGCTGTCAATATTCTCCCCTGTAAAGAGGTTCAGTTTCCAAATTGTGGTTCTATGGGCCTCTTGGGGCTGTTGTAATAGAAAGTGAATGCAAAATGTTTTGGCACAGAAGTCTTATCACTTTTGTGAGTCTGAGGGCTTGTCACCAACCCAGCTGTGCTTTCACTCTGTGACCTTGATCAAGCCATTGTCTTTCCTGGGACCCATCTTCTCCCCTCATCACAGTACCTTCATGGTGGATCCTACTAAAATGAGTTTCTGTCTTCTTATCTCTGTTTGCGGCCTCTACCCAGTCGGCTTCCTTCTCTCCCCTTGTTGTATAGCTGTCCTTTCCTCTGCACTTTTCTCTGGAACCAGGCCAGTGAGCTTTGGAAGAACATTCCAGTCTGTCTTAGGTTCTTGATAGTATGCAGTAAGTGTTCAATAAAGGCATACCCAAATGAGTCTGAGGCTGTGTTTATTCTCTGACGCATCCTATGAAGTATCTTGGCTTGGATGGTTTCCCCTTCCCAGGCTTGCTTCTCCACTGGACTCTGCTTCTTCCATTCAGTCTACTGCCCTTTGGTTCAGCTTAAGGTACACCACCTCCAGGAAATTGTAATAATTTTCTTCTCTTATCAAAGAATTTCCTCACTTATCAGGGAGAGGACTAGGGCTCTTCTTAGCCCCACCCCCCGACTTTCAGCAACTGGGGCTCAGATGGGTCTGATTTCCTATGTCATCAGCACACAGCTCATGGTGAGCACACAGAGATGGTACTTGGGAATATATAATGACTAAAATAACGATTTAAAATTCTCTGGTTTCACCCTCCCACCTCTTTGAGGCAAGCTTGGGGAGGATCTCCTCTCTGCACACCGTAGACAGATTCCCAGGAAGGGTAAGTGCTTCCCCAAGGTTGCACAGCTGACTGAGACCTGAGCCTGACAGCTGCTCAGGTTTCCTGCTCATCTCCTTCCCTGCTGCCTCCCCCACCTAGTCTCTGCCTCTTCAGGAGTGTGGGTCAGGTCCCAGGGGAGCCTGTGGGCAAAGAGCTCAGGCTCTCAGGGATTCCTTAGGACTTAGAACACACAGGCCTTTGGACACAACCCCTTCCCCACGAAAGCAGGGTGATTGCTCTGTTGAGTAGTCCCCCATGTCAGCCACACTGGTCCTCAGTTCTTTTTTTTTTTTTTTCAAAGCCATCACTGGGGTGGAGCAACAAACACCCCTCAGCATAGATTCTCCTCATGCCAGTCAGGTCCATGTTGGCCTGTCTGTAAGGTCTTAAACTTATGAGCTAACCTTTCTGTAGGAGTCAATGTCTGGTGCAAGGAAGGCTAGGGAGAGATCTTTCTCATCAAGCCTTTGCCAGCTCCTATGGAATATATGTGGCAGAGTCAGGCCCACTTGAAAACTTAACAAATGTGCCAAAAAAGACAACTACCACATGGTCCTCAGTTCTTGATGTTATTGCCACTCTACCTTATCCTGGACCCCAGAGCCCTCCTCGGAGCTTTTCAGGTTTCTGTTCCCTCCCTAAGCTTCCAGTTCACTCCTTGTGTCCCTACCCTTGCCCCGCTGAGGCCCTGCCCCATCTAAGCCCCACTGAGCCTGCTAAGATTTGGGAGAGAGGTCACTCAGTGTAGGGGAGCGGACCACCTCCCTATTAGCCTCCAGCTCCATTTTGTTGATAGAGGAACCTTGATATTACTAAGGGTCTCCAGTTTCTGCCTTTCCAGATGTCAGTTTTCTGTTTGCAGAATAGTGTGTGTATGGGTGGGATGATTGCAGTAGGGGCTCTTAGTCATGTGCCCTTGGATTTTAGAGATGGTAGTCAGAGAGGGAAAGGTAATACTGTGATTTGTCTGAGCTTGGATTCTTTCTTACTTTGCATGGCCTCAAACTGGCCCCTTCCCCAAGCAAGGTCTTAGTTTGCTGATGTATGAAGTAGTAGTGGAGCGGGTTTGGCAGTGAGATGGGTGCTCAGGGACCGTTCTAGGACCCTGTGAGGCTGCCTTTCTTTATGCTGGCAGCCCTCACCCTCATGCTGTCCTCCCTGCTGCTCCCTCTCCCCCTTTCTTAGAGGTGTGTGGAGGAGCAGCCCAGCAGGCCTGACATGATGAAGATCAGTCATTAGGCAGTGGGGGAGGCCCCAGGTTCTCTCCTCTTACGTAGCTTCTGCACAGGCAGGGAGGGAGAAACTTCACTGCAGGCTGTGCTGTTCCCATTTCTCACTCTCTCCTTCTGCCACCCCCACCGCTGTGAGACACAGGAAAATCCATAGGCCCAAGATTCATTTTCTCCGTTGAGTCAGCAGAGGCCACTCTCGGCTTTGGAGGGGTGGGGTGAGGGGCTGGGAACCAGCTTTTAAATAACTCTGATATTTAATACTCTCCTCCTCCACTCTGTGGCCTGGGCCTCTAGGGAAAGGCTAGAATAAAATGAACTGGATGCGTTTTCTGAAAGTCGTAAGTGCTCCAGCCCTCACCTCAACCTGGTGCGTCTCACTCAGACTCAACATGCCATCGGGGTTAAAAATTTTTCTGTACTAACTGCTTCAGAGTTTATGAATGGTGCCCTGGGCAAAGTTTGTTATCCCCAGTTCAGTGCTGGAAATGGAAATTTAAAAGGAAAACTTGGACTTGGTCTTCTGCTAGCTGTGTAATTGTGAGCAGGTCCTTGTCCCTGTTTGGGCTGTTACATCACCTGTGCTACCAGATGGTTCAGCCCGTGGGTTGCTGTAAGTATTTATTCCTGTGGCCCAAGTCTCCTTCCATCATGGAGCCTCTGTTTCTCTGCTCCTCCAGTAAAGCTAAAATAGTGGTATCGCAGCCAGGCAGGGTACAGTGCCAGGATTCCAATGTCAGTTGAGTAGGAGGAGGGGTGTAGGAGGGAGAAGGAGTGGAGATGAACCTTTTTTAAAAATAGATAGGATTCAGCAAGAACCTGTTTGGATCTTGCTCTCTTTAAAACAAAGGTCTCCACAGTAATTGATGGTGTTTGATTAGGTGGGAGCAAACATCCCTCCTTCAGCAATGTCAGGATTTTAGACTCTGATGATGGAAGTTGGTGGGTCTAGTGTTCCCGCCTTTCCCAAGTACTTTCTACCACTCTTCACCGCTGATCTGCAGCATCTGGAAGACAGGGATTGCTACCTCTCTTGGCTGTGTGAAAACACTATGGAGTTAAGAACGTATGTACTTGGAGCCACTCCAGATTAACAATGGGTCAGGGTCTAATTTCCAGCTCATGCCACTGTCTTGCTCCAGGTAAGAAGATGAGGGATGAGGAGTGGGATTAGAAGAGGTAAGTTGCTCTGGGAGTGACTTGAGTCTATCTCTTCCTTAGTCTCTTCTTGTGTGCATATGCTTCTCTTTAGCTGTACTTGACCTTCTAGATTATAGACTCTTGGAATTATAACATTGAATTCTAAGAATCATTGACTAACAGAGTCACAGTTTCACTGAAACAGAGCATAGATTTTTCTGGTATTGATGTTTTAAAATATTTAAAGCCTATGGTAGATATACTACTGATGGCTGCAATGAATCCTATCTGTATCCACATTCTTATTTTGTCCCTTCCCACATTGACCAGGTGAGATGTTTGTAAATGTGATGCAAACAGGACTTGAAAATGTTTGTGCATCAAGGCTTTCCTTTTTTACTGCCCCAAGATTGTCATATACAGAGACCCAAACAATGCTATTGAGAAAGAGATCAGACATGAACCATCCCAGCAGAAGCTCCCTACACCAGCTAGACCCTAGATGGTCTTCAGTTCATTTGAGCTACTCAGTGACTCCAATTGAGACAAGGAGAACTGCCTCACAGACTACAGCCCAAATTGCTGATGCATAGAATTATGAACAAATACAGTGGTTGGTTTTTTAAAAGTCACCATGTCTTGTGGGTGGTTCCCACTGCCCCCAGAGCAGTGGATAACTGATGCAGAGCCTTCAAATTAGAATAATAGAATCTTAGTCATAGATGCCATATCACCTTGTAATTGCAACATCATAGATTCATGGGTCCAGAAACTGGAATTTTTGATGTAGAATTTGAAGAGCAGAAGGATCCTGAAATCTCATCGTCTTTAAATTCTATCGAGTACTCACTGCCATCGAACTGGTCCCAGTGGCCCACCTTTGTGTCTCCAGGGTTGTGAACCTTAATGGGAGGGGACTGCCCATCTTTCTCCCCTGGATCTACTAGTTGATTGAAACTCTCAGTGGTACATGACCTTCTGACTAGCAAACTACACAGTACAGACTACAATCCAATGCTACATTCTCTTCTAATTCATAAGCCAGTTGACCCAGTCACCCTCTTCAAATTCCTAACTCGCACACATACCCAGGGATCCCTTATTCTTCAGCATTATCTCCATTCCACCACACAATCCTTGTTGCACTGAGTTTACTGTTAATAATAATTTCTTTCCTTCTGTTCTAGGAAGACTTCCTATGTTGACATGCTTTCTCTGGTCCTGTGAATTAAATATGGATGCAGTGAAATTTATCTTGGTATTTAACCTAAATTATATAGCATGGTGAAGAGGTTACCAGGCACGTGCTCAGAAAAAGAGCCACTATCACCATGTTGTTGTTGTTGCTGTGTACTGTTGAGTCCGAACCAATCCATAGCAGACCCTCCAGTGGGTTTCCAGAGGCAGTTAATCACACAGGAAGAGATTACTCAACCTTCTTCCACGGGGCAACTGATGGATTTGAACCATGTGTCTTCGGGATTGGAGCACAGCTTCTTGCCACTAGGCCACTATCACTATGTTGATGTTGTTGTGTACCATCGAGTCAGAACTGACCCATAGCTGACCCTCCTGTGGTTTTTCAGAAGCAGTTAATCACACAGGAGATTGCCCATCCTTCTCCAGAGGCTAACCCAATAAACCTCCTTTATTTCTGCTTCCTGTCTCGCCCCACCCATCTCTTACTTGGATCTGTCCATGGTGCTGAATCTGTGTCCATGCTGTGTTTTGCATTGATGTGAAAACATCCCAAAAGTACCAAAAAAAGATGCAATCCATATTGAAGACTGTAGTCCTTGACGTTCTGCAGCAAATCCTTCAGGATATTGAAAATAACATGGCTTGGTTTAGGTGAACCATATCTTTGTCTATTAAATTTATAATATTAAGTTTATCAATATTTAAAAAAAAAGTACCAAAAGTAGCAATCAATCCTGTGACCTGATGGCTCTTTCTGCCTTGCCTCAACACTATTGCAGCGTCAG